CCAGGAACCCCAGGGAGGGAAACGATGACTGTCGGCTCCACCTTCTGTCCCCCCAAACCTGCCCCAGCAGTCCCTTGTGCAAATCAGCACAGTGGAGACTTGTTCTAGAATCCAGAGTCACTGGTAGGAAAGGCCTGAGAGCAGAGGAGGGGAGGAGGCAGCCAGGCCACACCGGAGTCCCCTGAAATCCTCAGGAGGGGACTCAGGATTTCCCGCAGGACTGTGAGGAGCTTGAGTTATTTGATGTGGATGTTTTATGAAATGTGACCCCAGCAGTTAGAGGACTTAGCCACACTTCTATAGGGAAGGTCTGACCTCCATTCTACAGACCAGTGTTTTTCAGCCCTTGTTATCTCACAGCACACTTGAACCTGTACTAAAACTTCCACGGCACACTTATGTTGATTTAAAAAAAAAAAAAAGAGTAAAAAAAAAATATACTAACTGTGCTCTGAACTTCTTTCAAAAATAATTTAACTAATGATCTTTAAAATTTTTTCATAGCACATCTACGATCCTCTCAAGGTACAACAGTTGAAAATCACTGCTGTGGACAAGGGCATTGCTCCTTGCCTGAGACCACAGTTGCTGAGGAGTGAAAGTGGGATTTGAACCCAGGTCTGGTCTAAGTCAAAACCTGTGCCCTTTCTTTCCACCTGGCTTCCCCCAAGAGGGATGTGAACTCACTTCTTTTAAAGGGCCCTGGCAAACCAGAGAGCTGCAGCTGGTGGAGCAATTCCAGTGAGCTCCTCTGTGCTCGTGGAAAAGAACGAGCATCACCATTAGCAGAGGAGGCCTAGGATCACGGGAGATGAGGGCACTGGGTACCCCTCCCCTGAACTGATTCCTGGCCTAGGATCACGGGAGATGAGGGCACTGGGTCCCCCTCCCCTGAACTGATTCCTGCCTTTTCAAGAGCCTAGGCCTAGAGCCCAGTTCATAATCAATTCCTTGGCACGAGAGGCATTCAAACTAGTAGCCTGACTTCGTAAAGGAAAGTGGAAGGGAGAAAAGCCAGACAGAGCGATGTCAAAAGTCTTTGCACCTCTGATGACCTAACAGTGACAGCCCATACTTCTCCCAATTTACATGTTATTGATGGGGGGAAGCTGGCTGGAACATTGCTATTATAGTTCAGCAAGACAGGCAGTGGGTTCGTAATTAAAATAACTGCTCAGTAATTATGAACTGATGAGCATGGACTGAGTGTATATATGGGGAGGAAGGAGACCCAGCATTTCGGCTGGCCCCAGCCAACCCGGAGGAATGATTCCTGGGCTCTGCCCTCTGGCAACTCTCTGTGCTGGAGGGAGAGTGAGCTCGTTTACACAGACCTACAGAAGCTCATCACTGGGTTCTCTGAGTCAAAGTCAAGAGCCCTGACACCTCAGCACTGTGCAGAGGGAGTCGCTTAGACCTGGGGGCCAGAAAGAGGAGGCAAGAGAATGACCATGTCTCCCAAAGAGGTCAAAGTCACACATACATGGAAAAAGCTGCTGGAGAGAGCCAGGAGCTCACGCCCCGCTATCCCACTGTCTTGAAGGTCATTTCCCAGGATGCCGGACACCAACCCTGTCACCCTAGGGGCCAGGTGTGTGCAAAGCTCACGGAGTCTTTTTAAGAACCAGGCAGTGTGCATTGCAGTGTTGTCTGCAATAGGCATGGGTCTTAATCTGAAAGTTTCATTACTAAAATTTGATCTTCAGAAGCTCTCACCAGGTCCCGATAAGCATATATATTTAGTCCAAAGTGGACAAATCTATCCAAACTTGGAGAAAAGGACTTGACTTTTATTTTTACCTTTTTTAATTAATAGCAATAAAGTTATTTTTATTTGTGGTAAAATACACTCGCGTGCAGTTTACCATCTTCACCATGTGTAGGTGTGTATTTCAGCGACGTTAAGCACATCCACCGTGTCGGGCAACCATCAGCACCATCCGTCTCCAGAATGCTTTCATCTCGTAAAAGCTCTGTACCTCCCTGAACAACAAATCCCCGTTTTCTTTTATTTAGGAGATTTTAAAAAATCCTATTAATAGACCGTGGTAATTCAGTCTCCAGCTCAAATATTTTTGGAAACATTGTTCATAAAGTCTTTTTTTTTTTTTTGCAGTTTTTGGCCAGGGCTGGGTTTGAACCCATGACCTCCGGCATATGGGACCAGTGCCCTACTCCTTTGAGACACAGGTGCCACCCTGTTCATAAAGTCTTAAAAAGCCCCAGCACGCTTGTCTGGCCCCACCCGAGGGTTCATAGGAGGGTAAGGGGTAGAGAGACATAGAAACAAAGGAAAATGGATTTTTATAAAGAAGAGTTCTAGAAAAAGCTCTAGAACTCTGGGTGGCCACTCTGGGTGGCTACATCAGACCACGAGGTCACCCTGGGTTGGTCTGGCTGAGTCGGGTCCTCCCTGGCTGTGGCCTCATTTCCTTTTACAAAGGAATCTCACTGGTACTGGGGCAATAAGCAGGCTCATTTGGGGTCCCTATACTGCTCTGGAGATGTGACCGTCACCAGGCAGCAGGGAGGAACAGCCAGCTCCCCTCTGGACAGACTACTAAGTCACTTCTAAAAGAAAAATGGCCCTAAATATTTGGGGGGTGGAAACTAGAACCATTCTGAGTCCATACTTGAATCCAGATTGCATGACGTGACTCTGCTTTTGTGAGTGTTTAAAGGACCTTCCAGAACCTATCTTCAAACACACACCCACACAGAATAACTTCACAAGGAAATATTTATTCCGTGAGACTCTCAAAGGCTACCCTGTGCCCTTTACCAACAACAGATGAATTCCTGCCCACAGAGAAAAACCATGACCTTACTTTTTAAAGCAAGCAGACCAAGGCTGTGCTGCACAGAACGGGCCAGCAAGACTCTTGGCCTGGCATAAAGAGGGCCAGAGCCCACGAGCCCTCCCTGAAGGCACTGCCGACATCTGTGCCACAGACACCCTGTGCTGGGAGAGCCCACAGGCCCAGGGTAGCAGGGGCTGGGTACTAACCAGCTACAGAAGGAGGTCCAACTCCAAAACCAGCCAGGGCTCCAACATCGGCCTTCTCTCTACCTCAGCCTCGGGACTGTGTGCATTCCTTGTACACAATCCCATTTACCATAATCTAATTTCAGTAAATAATCATGGACACACACACACACACAAAAAAAACCCCCAAACAATGACAGAGAAATAAGGATATTCGTTCTGAGGTTGTTTATAGAATCAAAATATTGGAAACAACTGAATTTCCAAGTAAATGAAGCAGACTAAAATCATGAGATTTGGGTCCGTGGGCCAGGCTAGAAGGCATCTAGAAGACAGATGGTCTCTGATGGTTTTAATGACGTGAAAGAAAAATTGCACTCTCCTTAAGTACAGACACAAAACAAGAAATCTGTCTGGAGGGAGGGTGAGTAGGTAGGTGGATAGAGACGTCTTTCTCACCAGTATAAGGTCTGGGTTCTCCAAATCTATGCCTGGCCAAGCAAGATCATGAATATTACAGGATAGGAGAAGAAAACAATAAAATGGCCCTACATACACTTTGGAAATGCAGTCAGTGTAAGTGCACAGACAGGGGTAGTAACTACAGAAATAGCATCAGACCTGGCACCCTGCCCCCAGGAGGTGCCGGAAGGGACAGGGCCAGGCCACATCTCGGAGAGGATGAGAGGCAGGAGCCACAGCTGTGCTCGGTTGCCCCCCGGGCCTTGTTGTGGGTGGACTGAGTGTGGAAACTCCTGCAGGTCAACAGCTGCTATGGGTTTGTCCTCAGGGCCAGCTGCCTTCCCTGGAGATGTCTGGTCAGGGCAAAGAGGCTGCAGAGGCTCCACAGGGGCACGAGAGTCTCTAGCTACAAGCCAGGTCAGCCCATCCCCAGCAGACAGTGCCAAGGACCTGGATGGCACACATGGCCTCAAGCCCTCTTTCTTTAAGCCACCCATAGGTTATGCCCACATACCATCGTGTGAAAAAAGGGCAAGGGGAATGCAACCCAGCAGAGTGAGTATCTACCCAAAGACACAGGCATCTAAGAGTGGGGCTATTTAAAGTAAAAAAGGCCACGTAAACGGTCAAGTTTAAAACAAACTTTTACCTCCTCCTACCCCATTGTCACTACCCCGTGTAGCAAGATCTGTCAACAAATCTGTCAACGTGTCCCCCCATTATTTACACCATTTTTTAAACTTTGGATTAATACGAAGGTGTGTACGATACATTGTTTGCGTTGGTAAAGTCCAAGCTGTAGTTGTGACCTTCACCCAGGAAGTGTGTCACTGTGCTTGTTAGGTGGGAATTTACCAAGCTCCCTCCCCACTCCCCCATCATGAATTTAACTGAGGTTTTTGTTCAGTTAAATTTCTTTAATGATCTCGATATTTAGCTACATGAATAGCTAGCTCCAGCTTAGTCAATTCTGATCCTGTCTCTTTCCTCCTCAGAGTCTCAAGTGCATATTCCTAGCATGGCATCCAGTGTCCTACACCTCTGACCCTGTCCACAACCTGCCCTTGCAGCTAAAAGGGCCTGTCATTGGTTACCTAAAAGTCTCAACTTGGCACTGAGTACACGAGATGCTTGATTTCCCATTCTGATGGTCCTTTCCTTAGGAGAGTCTTCTCCAAATCCACCCGAGTGTAACAAAAACTCCAAACTCTCCATCTTTTTATGGCCGACTAGTACTCCATGGCATGCACACCCCACACGAGTGGATGACACAGTTCTTTTTGCTCTCCTCTGAGTGGTGTGCATCATCTTAAAACCACAGGAGGCAAAGCCACACGTGGCAAGGCCTTCAGCACCCCAAACACCCACCATGCTTCTGAGTGGGATTATGAGAAAAATTTATTTTCTTTTCTGCTCACCTATGTCTTCTAAATGTTCTACAGTAGACTTTTTTTTTTTTTTTTACATGAGGAAACTACGGCGCGGTTTACGTTTCTCGCCTCGTTGGGGTGTGTGCATCGGGCCCCCAGGAAGAACGGGACAGCGGACTCACCTGGCAGCGGGCAGCCGAGGATCTCCAGCCTCATGCAGATGCTCCCGTTGTCAAACCAGGACCGCGGGTTAACGCGAATGTAGCGGGCCACCATGGGGACAGGCAGCTCATTGAGAACAGGGATCTCCTTCTCACTGTTTCCTTCAAATATCTATGTGTGCTCAAGGCCGGAAAAGGAGACTTTTAGAGTTGAGGATGAAGGAGTCAGTAACTCACTTCAGCAAGCCCTTACTGCGGACACCTCCCCTGCGCTGGGCACTGAGGGAAAAGGAGGAGGAAGCAGGCCTGGACCCTGCCCTCAGGAAGGCTACCTCAGCGTATGTGCGTAGAGGGAGGAGAGTGTGCTGATTCTACACTGCAGGACAAATCTATTCATGTCACGGCAAAGGGACAGCCAGAGAGCACTGAGGTTTCAGGAGGGGACCAGGCTCAGTGGTGAGGAACAGGGGGTGTTTGAACCAGCACTGAAGGACACTAGTTAGCTCTGTGGGGTTAGACAGGGTTGAGAGAAAAGGAACAGCAATGACTGCAGAAGCCCAAAGGCGGGGTTCACAGGCAGAAGAGCAGCGTTCACTTCCAGTGGGCCCAGGACTGTGCATATCAGGGTAAAAATGAGAAAGAAGCTGCAAGGGCAGGCTGTAGACAGAGCCAGAGGCGTAGGACACTGGATGCCATGCTAGGAATGTGCACTTGAGACTCAGAGGAGGAAAGAGGCAGGTCAGAACTGACTAAGCGGGAGCTATTCATGTAGCTACAAGATCGCGACCATTAAAGAAAGTTAGGAAACTATTACAAAGAGCTGCAAGGCGCCAGCGCATCCTTTGCTCATCTCTTCCAGGGTTAACTTGTGAATGACAGGAGAGGCTGCAGCCCAGCAGCTCTCGGGCTGGATTCCACATTAGCCCTCACCATAAGCCACTTGCCACTTTGATCTAGGGAAGAGGAAGGGGGTCACCATCCATCAGTCTCTTGGGGGAGGTTTGTGTCAACATGAAATCAGGAAACCTCCACAGGACAGGGCATATATCACCTCCCCTTGCAGAGCCTCGCACAGCCAGGCACCAAGGCCGTGGTTAGAGGGAAGAAGAGACTCACCATGTCTCCAGATCCATTCTTGACGGTGACCCAGGTATGACTGTCATTGCTCACCATGACTTTATAGGATGTCACCCAGTCACTCCTACAAGAAAACAAAACACCATTGGGACTTCACACTCTAATGATGTTTGCCTCTTCCATGGAGAGGTAAGGAGAGCAGAACCAGAGGCCAACGGCACTGGGTCAGACCCCAGCTCTAGGACACTCAACCTGCTGTGTGACTTTGGCTGCATAAGTGACCCATCAACACCACTGTTTATCTATAACATAGAAATCATAACCTGGGAATCATGTGTCCTTGGAAATCATGGATACATAAAAGGTACCAACCTTCCAGAATTAATGTGAGCCTTAAATGCTGTAAAACCTCTTAAACTCTTAGCATAATACCCAGCCCAGAGGAAGCACACTCACGAAAGACACACAAATATTTATTTCTGTGTTTAGAAGTCACATCACACACAACAGAGGTGTAATGGAGTCCCCTGTGTTAAAATGGTCTCAGTAAAGGTTGCAAATTGGTCTAGAAATTGCAGCTAAGAAATTTATTTGAGAATATAACAGACTAGATCTCACCAACCACAAAAATATTAATATCTTGCATCGCTGAGAGACGCTGGTTTCCTCCTCATCTGTCACAGCCACGTAGACAACCCCGATCCCATGAAGAAGCCAGTGATGGATAGACCTGAAGCCGCTGGCGTCATATCCTACTGCACAGAGTAACCGGGGGTAAAACAGCCCTAATCCGACTTCCCACAGTGAAGATCAATCAGATCAGCGTGACAACCAAAACAAAACAAAACAACCTTCACGGGGAAAACACATTTTTCCTCTCTTGTTAGTTTTTTGTCACATTAACTGTTAAGCATGTAGAAAAGACTTCCCTCACCTTTTAATTTTTTAAATATTGGAACTAAGCACCAAGTTTTAGTCCTTTAGAAAATTCTGTCCATTGACATATTTGCAATCTTTTCCTCACCGTGGACTCTGCTAGGCCTCAGCATTGAGATCTCCCCCAACAAGGTTCTGAGTTTCCAGCTAGAATGGATGCCATCCAGGAGAAGTGTATTTAGAAAGAGCAGCTGGTTCTATTCATTCTGATTCATCTCATTGCCTTGTCAAGAAAATTTTTAGGCGCTTTTATACAAGCTTGGAAACAACTCCTCTTCTCACACATTCTCTTCTCTCTCCTCTCCACTAGCTTCTTCTGAATACCTCCTGGAAGCCAGGCTCCATCAAACCCCACCTCCCTCCGTTGAGAGTTACCAGTGTGAGCTTACCAGTGTGAGCCCACGACTACAGATCTGGATGCTCTGAGGCATGAGAGCTGGATGCTCTGAAGCGTGCCTTCTGAAAAACATCTCCACAACAGCTCACATCCTTTGCACTGGAAAATTATCCTCACCCAAAATAGCAACCTGTTTCCTACGTTGAAATAATTTCCAAATGACTTGCAACCGTGGTTCCCTTTGCTGTTTGCCAGCTGATAACGTCCAGTCGTGACCCAGCAAAGCAGACCACAGAGGAGAAAGCCGACCTCCATTGACAGAAAGGTGATGAATTTAGGAAACTCTTCTGCCAAGAGGAGCACACAAACAGTAAGAGGGAAGGAGGAAGAAAAATCAAGATAATTTCTCCAAAGAAAAGAAGAGGGAGAAAAAAATGGAAATGAAGGCCAAGTAACAATTTCATAAATGTAAAATAAAAAACAAATACGCTACTTCTGTTACAATGGTAATTAATTATTAGTATGACTCAGGCTCTTCTGAACTGCAAGGACGCAGCCTACCCTGCTGTCTATTTGATCCCACCCGTGTCACAGTGACATTGCAAATTAACCTGCCTTGAACCAGCTGACTCGTGTCTTCCACTCTGCACAGGGTCATCTCCAGGGTCCCGACGTCAGGGAAGGTACTTCCATCCACCCAGGGAGGCCAAAATCCCAGTCGTCCCTGTCACCCCACGTTTTCTCTCTCCCCTACAATCGATTACCAAGTGCTATCAATTTTAACAGCTGCATTTTTTCTAGGATGTAGCCACCTACTGCCCTCCTGCTGCCACCCCTCCTACTCCACCCCTACTGCCATCGCCCCAGCTCATTCTCCAAGGCCAGGACTATTGCAATTCTCTCAAGATGGTCCCCTGGCATTTCACCTGCTCCCCACTCTATCCTGCCGCCAGAAGCTCACTTTTCTAATGAAATCATGTCATTAGACTCCTAATGACATGATTAACATGTCACTCCCTGCTTAAAATATCTTATTTTAGGTATCTCTTATTTTAGGTATTTTAGAATATAAAGTACTCTGTTATTTTCATATTAGGAACAAGATCCTCCTATGTTCTACAAGACCCCTGCCTACCTCCTATCCTCTAGGTTCTTCCTTTCAATTCCTGATACTGATTACACTCTCTCCTGCCTCCGTGCCTCCCGTCTGCCATTAAGTTATTCAGACCTCAAATTTGAACAAAAAGCCTGTCCTAACCCTCCAATCTAGCTAATTTTTCTTCTCCTATGTTCTTTTCTCTCTAGTGTAATTCCATTTGTAAATGTAAACCCCTCTCTGGAATTATCGGATAATGTCTTTATCTTCCTCTAGAGTATACGCACCTTATAGATGGAAGAAGGAGAGACTGTGGCACGTTGGACACAAAAGGAAGCTGAGGCTGCCAGATGACAGAGAAGGATGTGAGGCGGGGGCTGCTGGGCTCTGTGGGTCATTCAATAGAGGTGGAACTCCAGACAGTCGGGAACAGCCCTCTGGAGTCCATCAAGGGTGATGAAAAGTACCTGATGACCAATTAGAAAATCTCCTCTGCTCCCCCAAATTCCAGTGCAATAGAACCTTTGCTGACTAGAGACTATAAAGCTGACTCAGCTCTCTGTCACCTCTGAAGTGCTGCCAGAGTGAACATGACCACGGATGGGTCTTCTTGCCCCAGTTTATGAAGACTTTGTTCTTTGTCTCAGACTTAGTTTTGTCTGTGGCAATTCATACCATGACCTATAAATATGGCATCAAAGTTATGCCAAACTCACAGTTGGGAAAGGCTCCCCCCTTTTCCATTCTCTAGATTTCTAAAAAAAGGGGAGAAAAAAAGGTGCTGTTCTTCCCTTAAATGTTAACTTTCTGAAAATGGGAGTTTTTACCATGGGACAATCTTTAACAATGAACTAACATTTTTAGTAGATATGGACACTTATATTTTCTATTTCTTCTCCTGTCAGTTTTGGTAACCCAGGATTTTTTTTAAGAATTACTGCCTTTCGGCTATATTCCATTTCATTGGCCTGAAACTGTTCTTTGTATCAATTTTTTGATGTCTGAAAGATTTTTAGTTATATTCCCTCATTGCTCTGTTGCCCTGGGTAGAAGGCAGGGGCATCACTGTAGCTCACTGCAACTTCAAACTCCTGGTCTCAGGTGTTCCTCCTGCCTCAGCCTCCCAAGTAGCTGGGCCTATAGGCATGCACCACCATGCCTGGCTAGTTTTTCTATTTTTAGTAGACAAAATGGTCTTGCTTTTGCTCAGACTGGTCTTGAACTGCTGTGCCTATGTAATCCTCCCAACTCAGCCTCCCAGAGTGCTAGGATTACAGGCATGCCAGGCTATATAGCTTCTTAAGATCACTAATTTTCTATTTTTCTCTTTTCTAATATTGCATTTAAGATTATAAAGTCCCTTCAGAGTGCTGCTTTAGTTTCATGCCATAAATTTTGACAAGTCACATCTTCATTATCATTCAGTTCAAAATATTCATTCCTGTTCTGATTTTTTCTTTAATGATGAGCTATTTACAAGTGTATAGTTCAATATCTAGGGATTAAATAGTTTCTAGCTATTTTTTACTATTAATTTCTAGTTTAGTACGACTGTGGACAGAGAACATACTCTGAATCAGGTCAACCCTTTGGCCTTTGCTGAGATGTCATTTATGGCTCAGTGTATGGTCAGTATTAGCAACTGTTCCATGTACACTTGAAAACAATGTGACAATGTCAGTTCTGTAATTGTTGGGTATAACATTCCACTTATTCTATTTTCTATTTATTAACTTATTAGTCATACACTTGAACTACTCTTTTCATTAATTACCTTAAGGACTACAGGATGTATCTTTGTGATACTGCAGTATTATTCAAATGATAATCTCTACCACATCCATGATTATGCTAGAACCTTAAAACACTTTGAAGTCTATTCACCCCACCAGCTTTTGCTGTATTTTTGAATTCATTTTTAATTGTCCCTGTATCTTAAATTTCATAAGACATTCCTATTATTGTTTTGTACACTTGATAGGTATAAACCTACTTATTTACCTTTTCTAGTATTCTTCACTTATTTTTGCATTTCCACATTTTGATCTGGGACCGTATCTTTCTGCTTGAAGTAGTCCCGTCGACATTTCTTTTAAACTGGGTACGCTGACAACACAATTTTCTAAATTTTACTGTCTGAATGATGGCTTTATTTCATCTTCATTTTTGAATGATAATTTTGTTGGGAATTCTGGATTGATATTCATTTTCTTTCAGCACTTTAAAAATTTGATTTTATTGGATTCTGAGGCATCAGTGAAACTACTGTTTTGTTTAGTAAATGTACTTTTTTATTTTATGGGTTTCTAAGGCATCTTGAAATTGTTGTGGTGGTGTTTACAGTAAGAATAGGAGTAGGAAAGTGAATGCTAGCCACTGTGGCTTGAATCCAGCTTCATTGTTTGCCAACTACAGAAGCTTGACAAGCTACCTAGCCTTTTAAAAATAATAAAGTTACTGGCAAGGAGGCTACATATTAATGCATAAATTGAGAAGAGATGTTATGGTATACTGGTTAAGCCCTTAGGCTTTAACGTCAAGAAGACCAAACTAAAATTCTAGCTCTTCCACTTACTAGCTGCAACCTGTGTGACAGTCATGTGACATCTGAGCCCCAGCTGTGAGATAAGTAACAACTCTACCTCCTGGCACAGTGAGGGCTGAATGAGGCAGTGCATGTAGCACCTGAGCACAGTGCCTGCTGGCACATAGTAACCATTCCATGGTATAAACATGAGTTATAAATGAGAACAGT